TGTTCGTTTATGCGAACTCTAAGCGACCTTCCAGTTTCGCCAATATAGAGAGCATTGCAGCTAAGGCATCTCAATTGATAAACCACTCCCACCTGTGCACAGTCACCTATTTTACCGTACGGACACACTACACATCTTTCTGTTATACGGTATCGATCGTAAAGTCTGTTGCGAATCAACTGCTTTTTGATATTGTCGTTTGGGATGTTCACTGATACAATATCGTCTTGCAGTTGTGCGCGCATCATGCACTTTCGAAAAGCCGCACTGATGTTATCGGAAATAAATGGCAGGCACAGTGGGAGCTTATTATCACGAGTATGGTCACCATTTGTGTGATGTTGAATACGCGGTAGACAGTGGTAACCATTGCTACAAGCAATCTGAGAGGCTAAACTTCGTGATTCGCATCGTTCTCTCTCTCCGGAGCACATCTGCATAGCTGTCTTGAACATATTCCTAATCACTGCTCGTTTCGTAGATGCAGGATGCGCAGATCTTACATTGATAAGGATGTTTTTTGAGCTTTCCTTGCGGTACCACTTCATGCTAACAATGTCATTGGACAATTTGACCTGTGCGTTGAGATAGGGGAGCCATCCGTCGTACGGTATCTCTCGTGTGAGCTTTATGTACTGCGACTGCTGGTTAAGAATTTCGAAACACTTGTCCATTTCGGACTGTGTGGACGTAAATATATAGCAGTCATCGATGTAACGGCAGTACATCAGCAGCATGCGGGCTAGCACCGGTTCCTCGATTTTACTCATGAAGCAAATGGCGAGGACAGGGGCTAGCTTTTGACCCATAGCCAATCCGCGTATCTGGGAGTAGTACGTCCCAGACCATCTGAGAATGTTACATTTCAAACATTCGCTCACCAGGGTCATTGTCCGCCTTTTGCCAAGCTCAAAAGTATTGATGGTAGTGGCGTATTTATCCATCATCTCTGAGAGCGCTTGCAAGGCCTGGCTGTTCTGCACATTAGTGTATAGCGAAGTCACATCGAATGAGTCGACTACAGTGCTGGAATCAAACTTGGCGCTTCGAAGCTTTTCGATAAAATCACGCGAGTTGGATTAAATGTGCTGGTACTTTGGGTAGCAGTTGACGATCGGTGGGACCGCCTACACAACTGATACTAGTCTGATACTGGTCTGATTTTGTAAGTGGTCCGCTGGCATCGAACTCATGTCCCGCAAGGAAAACTTGTGCGTCTTAACGAGGCAAACACTGGACAACTTGGAGACCTGAGTTTTAACCTTCTTATAAATCTGTCGTCGAGTCCGGCAGATTTAGCTATCGTAGTCCAAGCGTCATTCAACTTTCTGTACTGTGACTGAAATTTTTTCGCTGAGGAAAGAAATATATATAGAAAGTATAGAAAGTATAGTATAGAAAGTTGAATGACGCTTGGACTACGACAGCTAAATCTGCCGAACTCGATGCCAGATTTATAAGCAGGTCAAAACTCAGGTCTCCAAGTTGTCCAGTGTTTTACAGCCTCGTTAAGACGCACAAGCTTTCCTTGCGGGACATGAGTCCGATGTCAGCGGACACTTACAAAATCAGACCGGTATCAGACTAGTATCAGTTGTGTAGGCGGTCCCACCGATCTTCAACTGCTACCCAAAGTACCAGCACATTTAATCCAACTCGCGTGATTTTATCGAAAAGCTTCGAAGCGCCAAGTTTGATTCCAGCACTGTAGTCGACTCATTCAATGTGACTTCGCTATACACTAATGTGCAGAACAGCCAGGCCTTGCAAGCGCTCTCAGAGATGATGGATAAATACGCCACTACCATCAATACTTTTGAGCTTGGCAAAAGGCGGACAATGACCCTGGTGAGCGAATGTTTGAAATGTAACATTCTCAGATGGTCTGGGACGTACTACTCCCAGATACGCGGATTGGCTATGGGTCAAAAGCTAGCCCCTGTCCTCGCCATTTGCTTCATGAGTAAAATCGAGGAACCGGTGCTAGCCCGCATGCTGCTGATGTACTGCCGTTACATCGATGACTGCTATATATTTACGTCCACACAGTCCGAAATGGACAAGTGTTTCGAAATTCTTAACCAGCAGTCGCAGTACATAAAGCTCACACGAGAGATACCGTACGACGGATGGCTCCCCTATCTCAACGCACAGGTCAAATTGTCCAATGACATTGTTAGCATGAAGTGGTACCGCAAGGAAAGCTCAAAAAACATCCTTATCAATGTAAGATCTGCGCATCCTGCATCTACGAAACGAGCAGTGATTAGGAATATGTTCAAGACAGCTATGCAGATGTGCTCCGGAGAGAGAGAACGATGCGAATCACGAAGTTTAGCCTCTCAGATTGCTTGTAGCAATGGTTACTACTGTCTACCGCGTATTCAACATCACACAAATGGTGACCATACTCGTGATAATAAGCTCCCACTGTGCCTGCCATTTATTTCCGATAACATCAGTGCGGCTTTTCGAAAGTGCATGATGCGCGCACAACTGCAAGACGATATTGTATCAGTGAACATCCCAAACGACAATATCAAAAAGCAGTTGATTCGCAACAGACTTTACGATCGATACCGTATAACAGAAAGATGTGTAGTGTGTCCGTACGGTAAAATAGGTGACTGTGCACAGGTGGGAGTGGTTTATCAATTGAGATGCCTTAGCTGCAATGCTCTCTATATTGGCGAAACTGGAAGGTCGCTTAGAGTTCGCATAAACGAACATCTGGCAGACAAAAGGCGTAAAACCCTGTTGTCGCCGTTGAGCAGGCATAGAAACGAAGCGCATGGTGGGGACGATTTCGATATAAAATGCGAAATCTTAACCCATGCGAAGGAAACTTCGGCTAGGAAGGCGCTGAAAGCATTTTGGATTTCTGTAAAGAATCCAGCAATGAGCAATAGTAATGAGTGTTTGTCAGTCACCAACGACTTCCTCCCATTCATATCGTTAAGCAATCTATAGATCACATACTATGTGCATTTATGGTTTAGTTCAGTCCATCCGCCAAGACCATCACTTCCGGTGCGGAAACTGACGTAGCGGTGTTCTCAACGATATGTTCATTTTCTGGCGCTGACAATTTTTGCGGTAGGGATATTGAGCGAAGATCGAGAACTAGCAGGAATGGGGATGGTGCTTGATGGACTCTTTTCATAGGTGACGCTTTGAGCCATTTTCAGGCCTCTGAGGAAGACGAAAGGCGTCGAAACGTTAGGCCTTGATTGGAATAAAGAACACCTAACAAACCTGTCAGGCACAGCAGTATTGAAGAATATAACTCAGTTTCTAATAGTATTCAAAAGTGTCTATGTTGTGGACGGTACAGATCAGTATTGAAACTGCGGTTTTTCTTGCGACGTCGCACGCGTCGTTCGCGTTGCCGCACTTCGTCGCAACTGTTGTGCGATTTGTCCTCATATCTCCTAAACAAATATCTGCGGCACAACTCTACAGAGTCATTTGAAAAGTAGAAGCCTAGGCCTTTGACTTAGTAACCTTGGACAAGAAGAAAACCTTCACCTAGTGAACAACAAAGAGAAAAGTTTTGTCACAAATATTGAAAATCTGCAGATTTCGTAGATGAAGATGCATCTGGAAGTGAGAACCTATACCTGAAGATGTACTTTACCATATTTGGCTAGAAAAGGACATGCTCAAATGCATGAGGCATGGCTTACAAGGTCAACAACTGATAAATATCAAAATTATCCAAATGCAGCAAGGTTTATTAAAGGCAGCGTCAAGGCAGATCTGGACCTATGGGGATCTTACGTGGAAAGTACTTTTGGGGCTCTAACAAGGCCCTGCTCCAGCGACAGCGCAGGTAACGCTCCAACGGCTGGATATTCCCCTCGAAAGTGGACCCCGCGATCGTATTCGCATGGATTCATGGCAGTTTCGCGCCAGGACTCACGCTTTGCGCCATGAGTCCCTGCGAAATACGATCGCGGGGTCCAGTTTCGAGGGGAATATTTCAGCCGTTAGGGCACTACCTGAGCTGCTGTTGGGCAGTGGCTTAGTTAGGGCCCCAAAATTACTATCCATGTGAGATCCCCATGTGTCCAGACTTGCCTGGATGCTGCCTTCAACAATATGTCGAAAGCAACCCATAGGTGAGTTGCTGCTCGCTGAAGAAGAAACTAGCTATAACTGGACCTTCCGTGCAAGGAGGCACTTTAAATCCTTTCCATTTAGTGGGCGTTACCTTTTGTATAACCATGACAACACCACCAAACTGACATCTCAATTCATCATTTTTTCGCTGGTCCTTATCGTCCAGCAAACTTCTCAAGAACAAATCACATCCTTCTCATTTTCTACATGAAGGCAAAGATAACACTCAGCAAATTTAGCGCTATCACGACCACCAATACTAATCTCATGTGATGTCGCTTCTGATTTCTAACTCAGCATCTATAAATCAAAGCAAATAGCACACGTTACCGAACCAGTAACGGCCACAATGGGTATTCGAGCCATGATTAATGACCATGCATTGGTAATTTTTTTCCCGGCAAAAATGGCGATTATCCAACAAAGAGAGATGAATGGGAAATGCAAAGTCTTGAAAGTCAACAGGAAGAGTGAATCATAACAAGATAAACGCTCTGATTTTCGCAACATCAGAAGTCGAAAAGCCAATGTGAATGTGACACATTGCATGAAAAATTGTCTGATTTTTCTACCTCAGCACCAGATCGTGAGCAGTCACATCTACGAATCAGAAAAAAATCAAGTACATTCCAATATTTCTCGTAAAGCTAATAAAACCACATAGATGGCTGCGGCAATTAAAAAACAAAACAAAAAACGCTTCGGGGAGCGAAGTACACACATCTAAAAAACAGCAACGATCTTTTTTGCACGTGGGCTTTGCTAAGCCGTTTCACATGCACTTACCCGGACAGCCGTGTTGACGTCATTCTCGCAATTTGCACAGAATTCACGAAAGGAAAAAAAGAAAAAACTGCCTCTAAAACCCGCAAACCAACCGGCAAGACTTTCATCCGTGGTGGAATCCAGTACGATAAATCCACGATCGTCTCGAGACGAATCGTTTAAAGCACCTGTGGATGAAGCTTCGTCTAATGGAGTCGTAGTAGTGTCCTAAAAAGGTAATACGGATAGTACAGACCTCCAAAATATTAGGTGGCGTGATCACCACAGTGTGAAACTCCAACCCAAGCATAGTAAAATGCTCCTGTACCGAATCTACACGGCACTCACATTCTCTGTGTGAAGTCAAGAAAATTGACGTTCAAAGACAGTATAAATGCAAGCATGAAGAATCCAAGGGTTGGGGGAAAGATTCTTAAGCTATAGGAAATCTCAAACGTCTTTACAGCTCCTTCAATTTGCAACCAAGGGAAAGTAAAGCGAAGGAAAGTGAAGAAAATCTGTGTTGAGGCAAGTGCACAATCTAACTACGATAATGTGCTAGTAACTATGAGTGCAGTACCAAAACTAATCTCCATCATAACACTATACTACTGACAAATCCACGATAAAGGCATGCAAAAGAAAACGAGCAAAAAAATTACATTCTTTTTCCCTCGCCTCGTCATTTGTTTGGACTAAACGAAAGTCTTGAAAATCGCAAAATAAAATAACTTATTAGTGAAAACGAGTAATTTGGCTACCGATGTTCTACAGGACTACGAAAATGAGGTGTAGACGGGCAGCGTTGCCAACAGTACAGCCGTCAGGTGACCTTACCAGCGGATAAAAGCGGATGAATGGACGCTACGAAAGAAGCGCAGTATCAAATCGTCAACATTATAATCGATATCCACATTTGTACACCTCAAACTACTGATTATTTGATCATAAGTTTGCCCAAAAACGTTTGAATGTGCGTTATAAAGTACTTAAAAACTAGAATGTAAAAAGAACATCTCCACGGGTTCAATTTGTTTTTTCCAAAGAAAACCTAGCACCCTTGTTCACGATTCTTTTTTGACCAATGAAACTTTTGCATCTCGAAACACAATGGTTTTGTTTACCAGCTCGTGCAATATGACCATGGCACTAAAGCTTTATGCGTGGTAATTCATCAAGACGGCAGCTGTCGGCTACCCTTTAGCAAAAACCTCCCAGATGGGGAATACGAAAGGTTTTAAATAAAAACCAATAAAGGTCAATAAAAGTAGATATCGTGCATCTGGATAAAAATTCGTGAAATATGTGTAAAAATCCTTACCTGGCCGTACTTATCCGGTGACCACTGCAGCAGAAAATGGTAGATATTGTCAGCTTTAGATCGCGGCACTGCGTACCTAAATAACTGGACCGATAGGAGCAGTTAAGCAAGAGGAATAAAATTAGACTTTGTGCTTTTCCTCGGAATGAAACTATCATATTCCTCCAAGGATCACGTTTTTCCACATCATCAAAACATGTTCAGACTCCTCTGAATATCTGATCGCCATTAGTAATTCATATGTTTTCCACGATCACGAGCTCCCTCCCTCTTTCCACTACAAGTTATTTCTGCCAAACTCAATTATCAATTATTAAATTATCATCATTTTCCACACCTTGCAGAAAACAAATCATAGATTACTTGGTGCTACGACCACTCTTCAAAAACAAAAAGAATTCGTTCTCTGCATCATTTCACCTATTTTGCATTCCTTCACGTTTCCTTTCCATCATATATCGGTTATCAGTACATTTGCATGTAAATAAAGGAAAAAAATGCACATGGTGTGCTTCTTTCCACTTATAAAAAACCATGATAAAAATAAGCAGATTGTTCAAGAAAAAAAAATGAAAAACGAAGTTTCCAAGATAAGTATCAAAATGAGAATAAGGCAAAGAAAAAAAAAAGAGAGAATACTGAAACAAAACTGAGCGAACAAATAAGGCAACAACTTACCAAAATTCTCGCTTCAGCTTATTCCCAAAAGCACAATCCTCGTCGTATGAGCTTACTGATGAATGACCTTGGGAGGTTTCTGAAATCAAATAAATTGCTGGCTGCACAGCGGACAATTATCAAGGGGCGCACAAATTACTTTGCATTTGCATAAGCGCACGCTCAAGCCAAAGCTCTTAGTCTATAAAGTTTGTAAAAACTATATAGTTAGGCACAAAACTCAGAAACAATTCAGTAATCAAAGGCTAGCTCATTCAGCTGAACAGGATGGGCTGAATAAGCTAGTGTTAGGGCTCTGGAAAGGACGTTGTAGATGAGCCCATTGACGCTGTTATTCAATTCTAATTGCATTTGCGATGAATAAATGCACTTTGTGGCATCCATGCCTCCATATTATTTTCAAGCTTGCAGTGGAGGGTCGATATTACCACAGAAAAAAACTATTTTATCGAATTTCCTCGCTCTCAAATTCGGCTTTTCTCACTCAGCCCACAAAATCCTGCGCAAATTATGCGCAAATTTCTAGAGTTAAACACTTTTTTTCATGCACAGAAATTCCAAGACCCCTCACAACTAAATCAAGCCCTCTCCATAAAACAGCTTAAAGAGTTCCCAGAAAAAAAACAACAGAAAAGTCGGTCAACCGAAAACAGTTTGCAAGAGCTGCAACTCAACGAGCGAACAAAGCTCTCAAAAGCAATATCCAAACAAAATTCCCGACTACTGGACGCTAGTCGAGAGCTTTGATCGATACGAGAGAGCCACTGCATTGTGTATGCACACTTCCTTTAGGATTTTTTAGATTATTCTCGAATGTCTAGGCTTACATTCAGACACAAAAAAAGTGCGGCTTGGCGAGAAAATTAAGCAAGACTCAAGCTATAGAAAAATCCCTCCGGCGCAAATCGAACGGAGGCAAAGTCAGCGAGGATTAGCGTTCTGCACGACATGGTAACCAATAGAGTTCTAGGAGAAAAAGCAATCAGATGGAATTCGTCGGACTTTGAGCAAACAGTGGTGAAAGCACAATATTTGAATTGAATTGCATTACTGCCAGCTCTGCAAACACATAACATTCAAGCTGTATTTTGGCAAAATTCCAACAATAATTCTCAACAATATTTAATTCGATGCCGGAATCTTCTCGAACAGCATATATAAGCTAATCTCTTCAACATGGCTCTCAGACATGAGAAAAACTCATATTGGCGAGAGAAAAACTCACTTCTTGTCTTCCGCCTGTTTCTTGTTAGTCTTACTGCCATATAATAGGGTAAAGTGGGTGACGATGGTGCCTCATCAGTCTGAAATCTCTTTTTTATAAATATGCTGATGTAAGCACAAAAATCCCCCTGCTACAGATCATCTCTATGTAATTCGATAATTCCTAGCATTTTCCATTCAGCATCAGCAAAAAGAACTTTGTGACTCAAAGCGAAATCGTATCGGACAGAATTGCAATCAGATCTCAACGATCGAAAATGTAACATCAAAACAATTCTCGCAGATTTTCCTAACGCAACGTACGGGACTTTCAATCCTCAAATCTCAAAAACTGTAAAAGCAAAATGGTATCTATGCAACATCGGTCCTCCATATGTCCAATATTTTCTAATGTGTCAAAGAAGTTCAAAAGCGACTTCAAGTTTGCACAATTACATCTACTTGTAGAACTTTTTTTCTATGCGAAAGATGACTACCCATAACAGCAAGGCAAGCTAAAGCTACTCGAAACTTCTCGTCAAGACGTCATCACTAATTTACGCTTCAATTTCACTTGCGACACTCACCGATTGCCTACGCCCAACGAGCTCGTCCACTGCAAGGAAGAGATCCGACATCTCATCAGATGGCGTGGCACAAGAAAACCTAAAGTATAGCTACTGGGAAAAGGCTCTAAATACAAAATCCCAAAGCTGGAATAAACTATAGATCACCTCTTTCGAGAGTGCACAATGTTCTCCTACTGCACAATGTTCTCCTACTAACTTATTCTTTAAAAAGACGCTCCCAGCGATTTTATAAACACAATGGCAGTGTTCTGACAAATCCGAGCCTCTTCTCTAAGTGAGAATTGAGTGGGAAGCATTGAAGGCAGTGTCTCGACAGAAAACGCTTCCAGTTTTTCACTTTTTCGGAGCCCTTTCGCCATGAAGAATCCATATCTGGGCATGCAGCGCATAAAAATGGCAATAGTGAACTTTTTCCAAAGCTTTCCAGGTCCGCATTCAATGGAAAATACGTTAAGTGCGGGGCGGGGAAAACTTCCGGCGTATCTTCACTGAATGCGGATTTTCGCCAATTTCATGGGCTAAAAAGCCCAGATATGGACTGCCCATAGCGAGAAGGCTCCAAAAACGGAAAACGTGGAGAACGAAATTCTTGCGGGACACTGCCTTCAACTAAGCCATTGCTCAATCGACTTCCCAAGGGTTTACATGTAAACTCGCCCAGTATCGTAGTCAAAGATGCTGGGTTCGTTCAAAGTATGATATCAAGCAAAAGTTTAGAATTAATCTGTCGTGAATGACCCAATGCATTAGCAAGGCTCAATCAAGACCTCTAAATCAGTGTCCGCTCAGAAAACACGAGCACTCAGATTTGCTCGGATACTTCTGCAGTATTTCTAGTAGTACAGTATCACTATCGAAGAAAATTTGGAGATTCAATACTGTTCGTCTGAACCCTGGGTCAAAAACCATGAAAGCCTTCTTTTGCATGACAAAGTTTTAAGTTTCAAAAGTCTCTAAACTTGACAAAGTCAAGTTTAGAGACTTTTGCATGTTAAAGTTCAAGATTCCAACGTCGTTGTCAAAGTTAATTACATATATAAAAAAGTAACAATTTCTTTGAAAGCTAAAAAAATCGCAGACATGCAAAGTAGGCAATGTTGCGATAATCACTGGAAAAATTCCAGATAAAACTTTATAGCCCTATAAATCTGCTATTTCCCATTTGTCACATTGTTTCCTTCATCTTTTGATTTCTGTACTCTTCACCCTACCGCATGTTGATGACCGCTCATGAATACGTGAAGATAGATCATGTTCTTATCGTTTGATTTTAGTTCCTCATGTTGTGTCTGCACGTCGATGCCCAAATACGGAGATCAAAGGAAGAAAAATGCATTCCCATTTTTCGATTTCTTCATAGTGTGAGTGCAGGTGACCAGATATAGGGGGCATTAATTTTGGCGAAAAAAAAAAGAGAAGTGAATTGCATGCTCGGCCATTTCACTTTGAAGTCAGTATCTAGGCAAATTTGGACATTTGGATCTTATAAGATGTTTAGAAGGCCTCAGTTAAGCCACTGCCCTAGCGACATGTCATATGATTCAATCGCGGCCGAGAAATTTGAATCTAAAATTTAGCTCAGGCCGTAATATATCCGAGCGAGAACAGCATGAATTACGGTCTGGGCAAGAGTTCTGAGTAGAATTTCCCAGATGTGAACGTTTCATATGCGTTGCCTTTTGAGTAATGGCTTAGCTATGACTTCTCAATCAGTATCCACTTAAAAAGTCCAAGTACTAAAAACTGCCTCAGCAATGCCTTTGGTAGACTTTTTCTCAAGAATGACTATACAATGAAGCACACTCATCACTGTACACCTGACATGGGTAAAAACATAATCTCTCACGTGAATTGTACTAGCTACAGTGATATAATTTATCTTTTCAAGCATTCCTCCTCATGCATCGGGCAGGCGGCACGTTTGCTCCCTCATGTGACAGATAGTAGCTTTAGAAAAAGCGGTCATTTACAACATCGAAAAAGAACAAGGAAAAAAGTGTCATGCATAAAGCTAGGGGTTTGGCAATTTGACTGACAATCAGCGTCAGTGAGACCTGGACGAAAAGAAATAGTCAAAGACCACAGAAGGAAAGTGTATGAGCTTGGCATTAGCATTTCTTCTTGCTGATGCTCAAACTCCCTCAAAAATCACTCGTCATCAAAATTCCAACATATCATATTTCGGAGTAAATGAGAGATTCCTGCTTATATCCCTGCTTCGAAAGATGTTTTAGAACATAGAAATTTGCAAAATTTGAGAACCACTATTTCTAGAGTCCGATTGTCTAAGTATATGCCAATTTCAGAAATCGCGTACTGGCTCCCCCCTTTCTTTAGCTTCCTTCGACATAACAAAAGGGGAACAAAATTTGGGCTATTCTTCTATTCGACCAAAATGAGTTTGATATTGCACATTTTATCTGTACACATGGTCATGGTTCATCTAAGCTTCATGTTTTCTTCAAGTGGTCGTGCAAATCTCATGCAAAATCTTCACTTGCATTCGGACAGGAATAACCTCCTGCAGTATTTCACGCGAAGATACCGTGCTTTCATCTTTGAAATCTTCATATCAATCTTTGAAGTTCCACAAAGATTTTAGCGCAATGCGCGGTGAACGGAACTGAACGGTTCGTAAAAGAGCAAAAACTTGCATGTGATCGATCATTGTCGACAAACGTGAACAGCACGAGCAAATTTCATTGCGTTCAAGAAATTTTTCGAAAAAGAGGACGCATTTCCAGCATCCAACCCAGCTGACATTTCTGCACGTACGAGGAGAAAAACGTGCAAGCCGTAACCAATAACCCATCAAAAGGCAGCACAAGAGAATTTGATGTAACGATATCGAAAAACTGGGTGAGCGGAAAATAAACCTGAGTAATTGCTGCCTTTCAACTGGAAAAGGATTCTATGACGTTGGGAGAAAATTTCAAGTAAAAGCGGAAAAAATAAATTAGCAAAAAAAACACAAAAGAAGTCACTGAAAACAGAAGTGCTTTGTGAAAAAAATATTTATGACAATGCTGATTTACTCACATGCTTTGCTTGTTTTGCGCCATTGAGTCATCTCTGGCTTGCTGAGTTCGTTGTTTGAGGCCTTCCAAAGTAGCCAGTGACTGTTCCCTTTTTAGCTGACTCGGACTACGTTGTTCCTAAAAAAATTGATATTGAATAGGGCAATCACTCATCAACTCTCTCACTCTTCCTCTTTCCAAATGTCCAAAAATTCTGCCTCACTCTAGAAAAACAAACAAAAACCCTAGAAAGAGAATAAGCTAATTACAACACTAAGGCAAAAAACTGATCTGAACCACTAAAAGACAGAAAATTCTGTATTTTTTTCGTAACTCAGGTGCAAAAAAACTCACAGGACAGAGAAAAAACTGTTTCATTTCCTCGCTCATGACAAAAATCACAAAACACTGAGGCTGACGAAAGGCCACAGCGACCATTACGTTTATTTACCACCCACTCACTCGAAAAAAAACTATCCGACATGCTCAATTTGCTCCGTTAACCAGCGTAAACATACTTCCGCAATAGGGTCAGAAGATCAACACATCGTTCTGTTTACCTGACTTTTTGGTTTTCAGATTTATTGACATACATACTCGCTCCCATAAATTGCCCGCGAGCTAACAAATATTTCTTGAACACCTGGTAAGGTTATACTCACATGCCAAAGATTATAGCTTTGACGCCTTCTTCTGAATGGTCGATTGAACATTCGCATTCCTGCACTATACATGACCGTTACACTATATGAAGACGATGGCGACGTAATCGATGCGACAGAAATTTTGCAGAGAAGGAGAATTAGTTGATTTGCTTAAACAAAGTGCAAAAATGATTTGACCAGTCCAGATGTGAGAACAGGCTTCGATATAAATGTGAATGTTTGCAGATTGCGCAGCATTTGCGGAAGTGAAAAATTCATAGTTTAAAGATGCAGAATATCGTGTTCCCCAAGAACAAGAAGAAATTCCAAAAGTGCGGAAATTATTATTCTACGAGTGGGAGCATAAACAACTTCGGTTGAACAGTTGCTATTTGAATAAACTGGAGGATGAATGACTAGAAAAATTTGGGGAAAAATGATTTCCAATCTCAAACTAGAAATAATAAGGCCGAGATTATGCCCCATTTACATTATAACGTGCCCATGATGAAAACTGACGAGAACCTCATAACTATCTCTAACCAGTAACATACCAATATGGTGCAGATGAAATACACATGACTGTACTCGATAGTGGTTTCACATTACGAGCTCATACATATTTATGAAAATGCTCGCAATCCTATTTCCGGTACGCGAGTACGAAGAATTACGGTTTACTTTTGCAGAGTATATACGCAAAAGTACATATCGTAGCCATTTCTCAGCCATACATACTTTAAAACCAGTTCGAGAATTGTAGAGATGTAAAATTCGAAAGCACGTTAAACAATCCCCGAAGAGCTAATGGAGAAAGCTACTTTGCCAGGTTTTAGAGGAATATCGCAAAGTTGGGAAAATTCGCAAAATTTTGAAAATAATAATGATGTCTTATTCAACCATTCTATTTTTCCTCGATTCAAAAGGAATGCAAAAAAACCTAGAAAAGGAACAATTGTGGTCTTGAGCATTATAACTCAATCTAGTCGAGATATTGCCATTAGTGCAGGTCGTGTGATAGATAAACAGGAGTAGATCAGCAATTTTCTCATGTGAAGGTAAGAATGTTTATATTCTTCTAAGAATATTGTTTCCAAAAGCAAAGGAAGAGATGAAGCTCGAGGAGGGTAAAAAGTCCAGGTTTAGCGTCTCCAACGCAGAAAAAGAAGAAAGGAATGTTTTCTACTAATGCAGAGCCTTCGACTGAGAATCTTCAACATGTTTGCCTATAGTGAAGTACCCTTGAATGTGTGTACACTATTAATAGACTGTTCTAGAACAACCAACACATTGAAAAGATATTATATTACTGTGCAGGAATAACTATAATGCGAGAGTGGGCAGGCAAATTAAAAAAAAAACTATCATAAACTAGAGAAAGTGAACCGGAAAGTAAGTTGGAGAAAAACATGGTGTATATTCTACAACTCGCCTTCGCAAAGAATAGATGTAATCTTAGCACTTTCTTGCCTTCGCGTAAAACTCAGAACATGACTACGAGGGCAAAACTGGCTAAGCCACTTAGATCTCATCGAAAGAGCTTTTCTGCCAAAAAATTCAGAAATGGGCTGTGGATGCCTTTAACATTCGCAAATTACCATGTGCAACAGTATTTTTACATGTTTATTTATTTACCCTATTTGCTCTTATATGCTCCATTAAAAAAGAACTCTAAAATTAAAGCATAATAAAAGATCAACAGAATTAGATTAACGGTAAACAACTTCGGTAGTTTTTGACGGGAGGAATGTCATCAGCTAATTTCTGTATGCTTTGTATCAAGTATCACTGGAAAAGTAATTCAAGGAGAAAGAAACGGTCAGTTTTGCTCAAAAACATTTTGTTTACGATATAGTGCAGAAAAGCAGAACCAAATTTTCACACCAAATCGTCGGTATTGCAATTAGATTGAAATGTAGGGGATATACTAAAATTGGATTAAAATGTGGGAAAATGTTTTGGATCTGGATTTGATGAAGCGATTTCGACTGTTTTGATTTCGTAATTGGGTTCAGAACGAAACTATTTATTAGCCCTAATATCGAGGTTCAAATTCGCGTTAAAAGTTGAGAAATTCCAATCTTGCTTAAGCAGCCGCCGAGAGAGTATGAACCAATAAAATTTGATATTTTCATATGATTTCTAGCAGAAAACAACTACTACTGAGCCATAACAGCCTCTACCACTAAAATAGACCCCACTGCGCAATATATAGGAACGTATGCACGAACAGCAAAAAAATTTACGGCATCTGCAAACGCAGCGCCATCCAAATTTGGCATCGGAATTCCGAAACCAGTTCTAGCTATTGAGAACCATATGCATATGATGAAGAGGAGACTAGCCGTTGTCAACAGAAATAGAGCGCGACAATGGATTATATTCATCTTTTTTTCTTCTCGATTGCATTGCTTTGTACGAACGAACGACATTGCATGCTGCATACAACTCTACAAACTAGAGCAGCCTTGTCACGCATCATGTGAAAAATTTCTATAAAAGGTGGCCAGACAAGGGTGGAAGGGTTCCCAGCTGCTTTGTAGATAACAAAGAGATGTTCAGACAAAAAAGGGATAGACATCTCAGTCCAGCTTTACAAATAAAGTTTAGAAGCTGGCATTTGGAAATATCTACGGAGTGTAAATCATCTTCCTGTTCATGGTAGTATGACTAATTCTTAACAAAACAAGCTTACAGGATCCTGTTGAGCGAATAGTATGACTCAGAGACATAAAATGAACATCTACAACATAGGAGCCACTTTCTTTATATAAACTCTACGACTGTTGAAAAAGCAAAAAAATCGTATTTAAATCAGCATTTCACCAAGACCCTAGTATACGAGGTTGCAACTTAGGAAACAAAATAGAAAATGCACATTTATTTGCGCCCCGTTCTATAAATTTGAAGAAAAGTCGCGACCTTCAAAAATTTTGCGCAAATCAAAAAGTTGATAAATGAGACTGACTTCTCCTGGAACTTTTTTGATCTGCGTGTAGAAAAGAAAAAGGGAAAGCAAGCTTAATTATGAAGGCCTAAAAGTACTTACATATTTAGTTTTTAGGTTCCCTAACAATTTACCGTTCTCTAATCAAAGATTTTCGATGTCAAACGCAATCTACGAAACCAAATATGAATGATTTTGATCTAATCTTGCAGGATTCCTCCATATAAAAAATGCACCATAATTTGGTTACGGTAAGGTAAGGCATTTCATACACGATCTTTCTCCTCATTGGAACGTCATATTGTCACCACATCAACAAATCATCTTCTCGAAACCTCGATAAACAACGAAAACAATATATGACGTTCCAATGAGGAAAAAGATGAGTGGAAATTGGATATGACAGAAAAAAGTTTCTAACTAACTATAAAAAGTCGAGTTGTCACAAGGCCTGCTTTGGGCAATCCGTTATCTTGCAAATGGAGGAAAAAAGCAAAAATACTTGCAACTTTGCCAAAACATCTATCATCACTGCGGCCGAGATGTTAAACAGATTCGTGGAGTGTAATGATTTATGATGGACACACTGATGATTCACAAATTTGCAAGATTTTAAAGTATCACGAGATGGAGTTTTCTTAGTGCACATATATCAAACGGATAAAAAAGAAGGCAAGGAATCATAATATGAAAGAAAAAATTGTAAACACAATTTGTTACCGGAATTTTCGTACCAAAAATACCTGTGACTATAAGTTTGGGGCATCATAAATCAGTTAGTTGCTGCTCTGAGATTCACAAACGCGCAAGAGAAAAAAGCTTATGATTTGTAATGTACACAACGCTGATCGCTTTTTCTCTTCTGCAATACCGTCACTCTTGGATAAACAAACAGCAAATGGGTCAATCTTTGGGCGTTCTCACGACATCAGTGGTTTTGCAGATCGAAATGTTCGGGATGTAGTTGTAAACATTAGTTTTTTATTGCCAAAACAGTTGCTGCACTTTTATGGGCGTGACATTTCCAGGGAACTGCATGACTGATACGCAGAAACGTGATTGCATTTGTTTACCTATACGTTTGGGCAAGGGTGGGGCCTGCATTTAACAAATATACCTTTGATTGAAGAGGAGCGATTACACAAGGTGTCCCAAAAGTATGTATGCACTGTTTGATTGTTGATATATTTCTTATCACGAAGCCTTTTACAGAGCTTTGAAAACCATTGTGTAGAGCTTGCGTCAAGTCAGATTTGCAGTTCAAAGCGAAGCACCAATCTGTCTCCTTTGATGTAGGAGTACGGTAGGAACTTCCAGCTCATAACGAATTTGCTGTTGTGGTCTACGACTCATTGCAGGCGTAATACTCATTCTCAACATTCTCGTGCTCTCCAAGCTGCATTTTCGGGACCCGAGGAAGGTATAAGCCCAGGTAAGCAAAAGAAAACTTTCGACATTTTGTCCGGAGCTGCATTTGAAAATTCATGAAATTACGAGTTTACAAAGCTTTGAATGTTGTGATGACATTTTTATGGAACTTCGGAAAGCCAGTGTTACAGGTTGCTTGACATAAAGTGCAATATCTATTTCTGGATTCAACAACTCTTGTTGGCATATTGTAACAGTTTTTGGGATTTTCTTGCTTTTTGAGGCACAACAGAGCCCTCAATGGCTCAGCACCCTCTTTGGATTTTCTACCGTAACTCTACACCAATGAAGGCGGGTGGCTTCACACTACGAATCTCCAATTGTAAGCTGAAGCCACCTCTACAGAATGGCTTTCGAAGGTAAGCAAATAACTTCGCGGGAAGAGATAAAAACGCTGAAAAGCTGCATAAGCACTTTTCAGACACCCTGTATAGATCGAGCTAAAGCGTAGGAAAAAGCTAAGAAAAGATTTTGCACCTAATATGTACACTACTATCAACATTTCTGGTAGAACGTAACAAGTTCTGCTCTGACATTCGGTTCGGGCGGCGCGCGCGTGCTCCCCGTGCGGCGCTTTGTAGTGTGCGCGGGCCGAACGGTGAATGCGCGCGGGCCGAACGGTGGATGCGCACGGGCCGAACGGTGAATGCGCGTGGGCCGAACGGTGAATGCGCGCGGGCCGCACGGTATCGAAAGCGCTCTGTCCGCAAGCTACTAGAGAATAAGTCTTTCATAAATCTTCTTTTTCTTCTTTCGTCGTGCCGTGAGCATTCTCAACTTCACAGTCCAAAAAAATTCCGAATTCAAAAAATTCGAAAATTTGAATTCATAGAATTCAAGAATTCAAATTTAGCACTCATTCGGGACGCTGTCGGGGGATAACCTCCGTAGAGGCAAAAAACTCCTTATATTCCTGCGATTACTCAAATGCAAATGATATCTAAGTCAGCTCCACAAGTGGTGGGGTAGCCTAATCATAGCGTCGTACCTCACGCTGGTACCCATTACGCTTATAGCGTGTGAGAATTGGAGGCGCGCGGACGGCACGGGGAGAATATATTGCGCGCGGGCCGTCCGCTAAGGATGCAAGGCGCGCGGCCGCACGGTACATACATTAATGCAATCGGTGTCACAATACAGCCTGAACTATGGTAGTTCAATGCAAATCGGATACTCAAGAAATTCGTGAATTTTTTGGATTATTGATTGAAAGAGTGATCTCCCTTCCAGAAGAAATCTGATTCTCAGCCTGCGCCTGGCTCTGGCCTTTTCGGTGAACGGCAAGAAGAACATATGCTTGAAATTTTGCACCAAAAGTCTTCCTGACAAATTAGTCAAAAACCTACAAGTTCAACAGCTTTTCTCCCTGTATAAGAAACAGCTTCGAAAGAGACATCACCGACGTACACCTAGGACTACACCAAGTGGGCAAACATACACGATTAAACTGCCAAAAAATGAGGGCTTCTCCAATGTAAAAAAGGAGTTCTAAGCAGACTTTCCCGAAGGAGAATTCATACCATTGCACAAATGAGAGATGATATATCCACACAAAGTTGTGGAGTTCCTTTTAAAAACATCGCGAAGCATAAAAAGGTGCCAGTTGATAAGACAGGTGCCAGATTCCGCAGCTTTAACCGATTCATGCGGTTTACCCGTTCGCTACAGGTCAAATCACTGAACTGACCAATAGCGAATGGGGTGAACAGGATGAATCGGTTAAATCGGATAAGTCTGGCACCTACCTAACTTAGAGGCAGGAAGGTAGCACTGGCACACAAAACGAATAAAGGAACTACCTATGTTACAGATCCCCTTACCAGAATAAACTACCATAGGAGGCAGAATTTATGAGATATCTTACAGCGAAAAGAACAACAAAGATGTGTAATACTGTGCAACACGTTGTCAAAACGACTCTCATACCAGACTTCCGATTGTTAATGACCCAGTTACAGGCGCGAAAAAGATGAACAAAAACTACTACAAAGCCAGCCGAACTCGTTTGCTGCAGTAAATGAAGGTTATTCATACAGCGCAATGATGGAACCTATGTTGATGAAAAAAGAACGAAGGCAAAGATTGAAGTTCTCCCTCTCACATAACTTTCTTTCAATAAAATTTGCCTCCACTAACCTCGACTTCCACATTGAAAATCTCCTGTACGCCGTTGATACCATCGGATACTAGTGAAGTGCCCATATCTACCATCCGACCTGGCACTGTCGCTACAGCATCAGCAGCGGCCTGATATTGTATATTTCAGGTATTTATGGCAGACCGCATTCAGCCAGCCTAATTCCATAAAATCGGATATTATCTTTGAAGAGTTAGGTAAAATTTTCTGAAGAAGCCTACAAATTGCAACACCATACAAGGAAAAGATACCAAAATGAGTTGACGATTGAAGACCAGGTGTGAATCACTAAAGCGCCCTCAAACACTGATTCCATATCTGTTTTTCTTTTTTGCGGAACAAATCTCAAGAGAAAGTTGTGAGCGTTTGAACGTCCAAATTTGTCAGGCAAAAAGTAGCATAAATTTAGGGAAAATCAAAGCTTGACGAATTTAGAATCCAAACGCTCCTACTTTTCTCAGAGAGTTGTTACGCAAAAAAGGAAAGCAGATCTGGGATCAGCGTTCAGAGGCAATTCTAGTAATACACATCTCGTCTTCAATGGCCAACTTCAGTTGGTATGACTCCCTTTTCAGAACAACCTCAGAGCAAAAAATCTGGAGCATCTTACCTTTGCTTGATTTGCAGCTGCACTGGCAGCACCACCGACAACTTTGACACTCGTTTCAATTCCAGTTTGTAACGTGTCTAAATGGTTACAATCTGAGTTCAAGCAATTTCGTTGGCTCTTTTCGAGCTTCTAATTTCATGGATCAAAAGTCTACAACGCAGGAATGGATGTGGCAACTCTGCGGGTTCTTCAACGCATTTGTAAATTTGTACAAAATCATAAAGATTGAAACGAGAAAGAAAACTTCTGGAATCCATGATGCCAGCTAAATCAGTTATATAGGAAGCGTAGGGATAAACAAATACTTTTCTCACCACGACGAGCCCTCAAAATTAAAAACGATAGTTGTGAAAAGGTAAGCGGAAAACGGATGGGCGCGATATCCGAAATTTTCTTCAAATATTAGGTTGGTCCGAAAGTTCTTGCGCATCATTTTCAAAAAATCATAACTTCCTCGCCATTCAATGGATTTCGTTGAAATTATATATATTCGAAAGAGGAATCCATGCTCTTTACAGCAGTGCCTCAGCCATGGATTACTTTGAGAAACTTCGAGAGTTACAAGCAGTTGAATGAAATCAGTCAAGATTGGCATTTTTCGAGCTGAGTGACAAAAATTCTGGAAGTGTTTTTATTTGATAGAGAAAATTTTGCGCATTACAGTGGTACCTTTCCCATAAATTAAAACAAAAAAGATCGAGAGTTAGGAGAAAATAAAAAGAATTGCTTCAGTTTTGCAATATTTGAGCATGCTCAAAAAAGCCTAGAAACGTCACAGAAAAGGCGGAAAAGTCATGAACATGGGTTTTGCGACCTTTTCTTTCTAGCTGAGCAAAAATCGTGTCAATCTAGAGCAAATTTGTTTTTCGTGATTTTTTCGGATTTTCGGGTCTGCGTTTTTCACGAAAATCAAAATTGCTCTCGATTAGCAGGATTTTCACTCAGCTAGAAAGAGAAGGTCACAAAACCGATGTTGATGACTTTCCGTCTTTTCTGTGACGTTTCTAGGCTTTTTTAAGCGTGCTCAAAATTTGCAAAACTGAAACAAATTTCTTTAGTTGCTCCTAACTCTCGATCTTTTTCGTTTTAATTCATGGGAAAGGTACCACTATAATGTGCAAAATTTTCTCTATCAAATAAAAATATTTCCAGAATTTTTTGTGATCCAGCTCGAAAAATGCCAATCTTGACTGATTTCATTCGACTGCTTGTAACTCTCGAAGTTTCTCAAAGTAGTCCATGACTGAGGCACTGCTGTAAAGAGCATGGACTCCTCTTTCGAATAGGTATAATTTCAACGAATTCCATGGAATGGCGAGGAAGTTATAGTTTTTTGAAAATGATGCGCAAGAACTTTCGGAGAAACCTAGTACATGGTACGCTCATCAGTGACAAACAGTTGCTTAAGCGTCTCGTTTCAACTCACTATTAGATTAAGTAACAGCCTTTTTAATTTCCTAAACTTTGGATTCAATTACCTGCGGCACTCTTCGTATGCGTCACAACACCATGCGCAACCTGTTTCGTACCTTGCGTGACCGTTCCTTGAATCGATTTTGCACGAGCACTATAAATTCATGACAATTGACACATACAGTTCTAAAAACAGAACTATTACATAGAGGTGATTTCGAGAAACTGCTCTGAGAATAGAATAATTTGCCCTACCTGAGTGTTCGTCCGAGCTTTCCGAAAGACCTTCGGGCTACATTTGGTGAAAATCGAGATCCAAATCCGCCTTGAGAGGCTTGGTTAGCATCTAACTCGGAGTAAGAACGAGGTCGCTCCTCATGTGACGATGTGGACAGCGATGATGAAGAGCGATTGCGCAGATGTACCGATGGGTATTCTGAACGAAGTTTCAAGACTTCTAATGCACCCAAACAAGATTTACTTTTGCAAAAAATATTGAAAAACTTTTCTTTCTGCATGAAACGAAAAGTAGAAGTAAGTTAGAGTACGTACCTTCGCTCAAGTCACTACTCCGCCTGTTCTTCTCATCCTCTGGAGATTTCAAGTTGTGAGTTTCTTCATCGATTGATGGTAAGTGCGCTTCACTGCCGACTTTTGCAGGCTGTAAAAAATGCTCTGTGGATAGATGCGAAAAGGGATTCGACGAAAAACAGCAACCGAAAGAACTTCTCACAAGATATTACTTATCATTTACATAACGGTCAAATGGTCATATCATACCTTGTCAATGGTCTCCGCTTCGGTAGCTACCTCAGGTTCAACCGCTGCTGTAAGAAAGACTTTCATATTAGGACCAAGCCAACGAAACTCGCAAAAACAATGTATACAAGACTATTCAGTGATCTATATCACTACATACCCAGATCTCGTTGCACCGGATCCTCAGGCACACCAGTCTGTTCCGATTCAGGTATTAGCTCGATATCGCCTCCTTGGAAGGCCACCTGAATTTCGCAAATTGACCGCTATCAAATTTGAAGAAAAATTCACATAAACTCTGTTCATCCGAAATTTTCAAGAGCATGTGCTTGCAAAAACTTTCGCCAACATTTTACTTCTCTTCCCTAAAAGGAAAGAGCACCGCAGTTCCTCTAAGCTTTCCAGTCGACGCATTCATGCGTCACTTTCGCACATTCTCAAGTGGGTTACTTAGCAACACATCCCTCATATAAGTATAGCTATCGAAAACGTCACTCCTGCATTAGAACATGGCTGTCGGATATGTCACAAGTTTGACATCTATGTAAAGCTACGACGAAGTCAAATGTTCTCTAGCATGTACTCCATAAAGCTATGAAGAATATAAAAATCATTCTCTACATAGAGAAGGTTATAATAAGTAGATTGTGTAGATACCTTTGCCTTGAAAGAATGAACACAACATTCTACTCACCGCTTCAGACTTAGGAGGTTCGGTTCGAACATGATTTGGGTCAAATATATCTCTCTTTTTCTCTGCTTTGTCGCCTGTTAGCGCACCGACATCTTTGTATACCGATACTGAGACTATCTCATCCATGCTGAAAAGAAAAAGATAACCTCGATAATGAGCAAATCTAGAAAGCATAGAAAGCACAAATACAATTCTGATATTAATCACAACTAAGCCATAATGAAAGAAGGTCGTTCCCATTTCCAAGGATATAGCTGCATCGTGCTTTAGTCATCATCATGCTAAAGATGTTTGTGAGATGATAAGCCCCAAGCCCAAAGCGGGAATCACGGCAATAATTGCATGGACTGCATTGTTACTATGCCCAAGTAAAGTCTCAAACTCGTAAAACTCGGTATACAACTTAATAAAAATGGAACTGCTTGAAATATGATGTAAAATAATGAAACTAGAAGCAATCAAAAAAGGATGTTGGGACTTACTTCGCTACCATTCCATACAAATCTTGCCCGTTTTCTTTGACGAGAGGATGGCTGACATCCGGATCAAACATAAGACAATTGGGAGTGACTAGCAATGTGCCTGACACGGTTCCGTCAGATTCTGTCACTTGTTTGACCTGAAGACAAGAACTGCAGGTCTTCAACTAAATCAAACCAGAGATAAATTGAGCTCAGGCTAGAAAACAATTCAAAGTCGCTATGATGTAAACAGCCCTTTCAAGAGTCTGCCACAGCTTGCCGACAGTTGTTGCTGAGGTTGTCACTGTTGTAGGATTTCATGTAGTCTCTGTGTGTTATGCGCCCTCTATGCTGGGTTCATAACCCGTAAGTTCCGGAACAGTTCCAGCACAGTGCACAATTCGAGCGCTGTGCTGGGACCGTTAGGCCTCGGCTAGAGTTCATGCGATTTGATCGTCGCGTCTGATCGCGACAAGACAACTGTAACAGTACTATTGCATGCCGATCTGATCTTCTTACATTTCGGTTGTGATAGTTTTCCAACACTACTAATCGTGACTAACTATCACAACCGAAATACAAGAAGATCGACATGCAATGAACTCTCTTGTCCTGTAGCGGTTGAATCGCGACGATCAAATTGCGCGAACTCTGCCCGAGGCCTTACGGAACTTATGAACACTATGAACCGTAGTCTACGCGGCAATTTGGCAACGTCGGCAGCCTATAGCCATACCCTAGGTTTAAGTATAGAAAATAACATGGTAAAATGACTGAAAAAGCCGAACAAAAAGGTAAAATGACAGTTCTCACTTACCTTGATCTTCAGAAACCGCTGGAGGCAATCCGAGTCCACTTCATCACTTGACGGTGTTGGGACACTTTGCGCTTTGGTAAGGTGAGATCGCTGTTGTGTTGCGGGTACGGCACCACCAGGTCCTTTACGAATACCATCGGCTGGAGAATGGGTCAAGCACAATAAAGGCACAACCACAACAATAGCTATTTTCATACAATAGTGAGGAAAAACACAGGAAAAAGAAAGAGTGCGGAATAATGTAGGTCATACCGGCATTTTCACCTCCTGATATTTGTCGCGCAGGCCTTGAATTTGCTACTGGCCGTGTGTCATTTCCAAATACCTCATCTGACGTTGACAATGGCACAAGTATCTTCTGACCCGGAAACACCTAAGGAAATGAAAATATTGAGATCCTTAAAAGGGTTGAAAGAAAATTTTGAAAAAATTCTTGGGCATTTGATATAGAAAATATCTTCTAACCCTCTAATGCGGCAAACAGAGAGCTATTTTTTGTTGTGATATTGTTCTACTGGAAGTTCATGAAGTATGGGAGCAGAACAGAGTATGAAAGCTTATGCTCCCGTCAGAGTTAACGAGATTTCATCGCGATTCTTCCAACAAGACAAACAGTCACGAGTCCATTGCATTCCGATCAACCTGCATTTCGGCTGTGATAGTTAGTCAAGATTGGTTGTGATGGAGAACTATCACAACCGAAATGCAAGACTGGTATGCAATAAACTCGTGACTTTTTTGGAGGAATCGCGGCGAGGAAATCGCGTGAACTCTGCCCGAGCTCTAGGGAGATAGCTGCGGCGATAATTCGTTAAAAGTAATTCAATTCAAAAAATTCATGATGATGGAACCAGAGTTTTGAAAAAAAGGATAAATCTTCCCCTATGCTGAACCAAACCTCAGATACGCATATCTTACAAGTAAACTTTCGCGTAAACAAGTGAATAAACAAACAAATATAGAAAAAAATATATAGAAAAAAATAGCAGAAATGCAAAGTTCTTCAATAAATCGATAAATACAAAAGAGACCGTACCATGCGTGAACTCATCCGGTTGAGTTTCATCAACTCGCCGACTGTGCAATCATGCGAGGCGGCGATCCTCTCCAGGGAATCGGCCCCTGTGACCGTGTAATCCATCTGGAACATTCACTATTCAGTGTGCATTAGTGCGTATATCAATAAAAACTTGGTAGTAACATACATCACTTCCTATTTGAGCGTGAACTATGTTTCGAAAGAAGATTAGATTTGAGATTGGACATCAAGTCAGACCAAAAGATTGATAAGAACCACTCATAGAAAATTCAAAAACAGTCTTTTGATAATGCAAAGCTCATTTGTGATATACGGTTCAACGACGCAGACAATGCACAAGCAGTGACGATGCGGTCGTTTCAAGCTGTTGCGAGGAACTCGCACTTGCCGGCCGTCAAATGGAGAGATGTGCATTTCCTGCGGAAGATAACTAATACCCAATGTTTCCATCTCACCGGTTTCTATACTTGGCAATAAGAATTTCACGATAGTGTTGATGCCAATTCCCCCTTCGTGGAGACCTGCATGAGGGTCCATTGAGAAAAAAAACTATAAGGACTGCATGCAAAAGCACCATATACCAAGATCTCCAAAAGTAATTGTACTACGGCTCCTTACACATAGTCTATACAATTAGTGAGATATGTGCGCTTACACACTATGCTCACATGCGCGTAAACTTTAAGTGTTGGCTTCAAGAGCAAGCATATATTGTTGAGTGAGGCCTTCCCAGTGACTAATTCTGATTTCCACTATTCATGCAGTAAGGAAAACGCTCCATGAGTTTTATACGAAAATTATAAAGCTAGCGAGTCAGAATTTGACGCGCAATGTGTAAGTTTTGTGTAATTACGTACATTAGCCTACGAACCGATTACACTGTGGATACCTGGTCATTTAGATACCACTTGTAACAAAACCCAATTTTAAAGGAGACAAAATCAAAAATCATGCATGGAATATCAAATACGATGCTTTTATGGGCACTCGAGAACGCTACGCACGCAGCTTAGCATGTTCGAACACGTTGTTCTCTCTTTTCAGGCAGTAAAGGCCAAAAATGACGTAAAGTACGAGTTGAAATTTGTTGAGTGTAATCATGCAAGCATCTCTGGGACCTTTTAGTTCATAAAGAAATATGTCTGAAATGCGGAATGGTAGCAAACTTCACAAAACTTCGGCAAAATCTTAAAAGTTATAAAAACTTAAGTATTTTCACGCTACAATGCGCGTCTGCACAGCAGCCGCTAATTGTCAAGCGGTTGCTAGTTGGACGTTAATTTGACCAAACATGGGCTTGCTGATGTTTATGCGGTCTTTTGTCATGGATGAATCGTTGCAAAGATTGTTTGAAAGTTCGAGCAATACTAATTTTTGGTACTTGTCAAATTTTAGAGTAGAAAAGGCTAAAAAGGGGCTAAAAATTTGTGCGAAATGAAGTAAATAACGACGAGAAGATTCGCGAAGCTACGCACAAGGACACTTCAAGCCACAATAAGAACGCGTTTCTTTGTCGGAGTGATAAGCGTTGCCCCGTTTTCGTCATCGATGGCCCGTTGGGCCCCAATCGATTCTGCCCCCACGAAAAGTGCTTACTACTGGCTATTTTTCATAGATTTCAAATGCTTCCATGGCGAACAATGAAGTAGTGGCTCGGGACAGCTAAAAACAAAGGATTACTAGCTTCAGCCGTTTGGAAGAGAGGGAAAATATTCATAATCCCTGGGAATGAACGGATGTTAAAAGTTCTATAAGCTAAAATGCACATTTTCCGCATATGCACACATGAAATAACAATAATTTTCGCATCAACAGTTTCTCATGAATGCCTATGAACATTTTATGTAAATCAAACAAAAAGGGAAAAGCCATGTGACTGCAGAGATAAGCTATCAAAGAATCAAACGTATAGAAACCAAGACGATAGGCGCCTCCTACAGCTCGATACATTTAATGGCTGAAATAGTGTCTCTGCGGTGAGAACAACACTTGCGCGGAAGAAAAGTGCTTGACCGCACATCCTAAGTTTTTGCCCTCCGTGGCCACTTAAGTGGAAGCGATGACGGCATAACAAAAACGCCACGTTAGTTGTGAAATTTCCTAGATTGTACACTACTATCGGATTACTTTGTTTTGATTATAATTTTGTTTTAAAAATTTGAAAAATTAAATTTCTCTGGTGGATTTCACTTAAAGTGTGCTTGGTTGCCGATAACATCCGTGCGCAAACAATGACAATGTGTGCCCTATGACCATTTTCTAAATGCTAGTCGCAAGCAAGTTGTTAGCATGCACAAACATGGCAACCTTTCCCGCGCATATGTTGCTGTCACCGCAAGGGCACTAGCTTCTCGAATCTACTGGAGTTTAGATACTCTTGCCATGAAGCCGTTGCCTTTGCGTTCAAGACAACATTTGCGCGTAGAAACTGCCCGTCTGCAAAAAATTAGTGCAGTGCAAGAAGTTCATTATTTTTTGCTAGTTTTTTTCTACATGAGAATCCAAAAAAAAACTAGATGGGTGTAGGTCCTTCCTGTTTTAGACTTTTGTCAACAACTATCAGGTTTCAGCGTATTCTTCACAAGCACTCAAATAAGAGAAGGGCATGTTTACAGTAAAATTTTGCTCGATTTCTTCAGACGATAAATCGTCAATTTGCATAGGTATTTTTTCCCAATGGAAACAATTCTTTCTGAAGGAACTGTTTGAACGAACTCTCCTCCTAGCCCTTCCCCCAATATCACAAAAAATTGCTAGCCATAGTGAGGGAGAATTACACATATACGACATAGGTGTTGTATGATGCGACAGACGTTATTTACTGAAACACATGGTGTTGCACTCACCGTAATTGCGGATCAGACACTAAACTCGCGTGATATGATGGATTGTGGGAATAATGCGTGACATCAAAAAACATGTGTTCTTATCAAGTAATAATATGAAAATATATGGACATACGTACGTGGGAAAAAACGTCAACAATATCTACATAAGAATTATTCAAAAAAATGATTTACAATAAAAAGAAAACTCGCAGAAAATTTAAATAAAGTCAGCACAAATGACCGAAAAATAAGATGTTGATGGCTGAGCATTTACACATATATGATTTGGAATAACAACACCAATACATAATTCAATCCTAAAACTATTCAGGAATTGATTTAAATGTTTTTCAGTGAAAAAAATTTCTTTCCTGCGCTGTGCTATTCCCCCCCCCTTGTTTCCAAGCCCATAAAAAATCACATTTCATGCGTGCCTATGCTCTAAAGTAAACATTGAAATCCAAGCGACATCCGGCTGTCCTCGGGGGGAATCGTAGATAGCCTACTACGGCTGTGAATGTGAGTATAAAATTACCAGCTGGTTGTTGACTTTCTCCCATCTAAGCTCCGATCTATGGTCTTGGTGATAAATTTTGAATATGTTGACATTGAGCAGAGTCTGATAAGAGTGACTATTGCCTTCATACAGAAAAAAATCTCAGGACTCAATGTGTTTACCGGTTATCAGGTTGAAAAAAACGAAAGCAAAAAATCAATTATGCTTCTGAGTCTGTATATCCAACATATGAAAGTCAAAATATTGTAAATTCAATCATAACTTGAGAACAGTGAGTATAAACATGACATTAATAGTGAAGATATTAAAAAAATAACAAAAAAGGTAAATTTCGGCATAAAATCTGTGAGATATTAGTCACTTTTAGAAGCTTAGAAATTTTTTTTTTGAAAAATTACACTTCCGAGCAATTACATAATTCGATTACCGGAGAATTACAATGTCACACATTACATGTTTTTGCATATAGGTAATTCAATTTTTCAAATACGTAGAAAAGCCATAGAAACGCATAAACCAGAATAAATTGGCAATCCCTTGCAAAATTCACTCAATATTTGAGACACTTATTTTAGCGAGATTATAAGTATACATATTGAGATATAAAAATAATCCTTTTCTAAAATTTATACAACAAAAACATAGAATTTTCCCATTTGGCGATTACCTGTGATTCCGAAGTTTGGAAGTTTTTGTACCTTATATCAATTTGGTCCATTAATACTAAGCAATTTCAAAATTTTCCTCATAAAAAAAATTGTTACGTTAATAAACAGTAATGTACACATCACTGAAAATTCAAAAAATATTTACCGTTGCTGGTGGCATGATTTGACGTGAATGTGTCGAAAAAACTATCAACTGAATCACCTTTTTATCTGTTTTTTCGCGTCCCGCCTTCTGCCTACATATACACGTCACTGTTGCTTTCACTTTGATCTTTCAATAAAAGAATAAATTTACAGGTGTGAGTGTTTATATGATACGAATGACGCATACCTATCGAAATGTTTGCTTGCATATTGTTTGGTGAATTCTTATGATTATGCTGTCCCAAATACTTTTATCGTGACTCGAAAATTTTATTTACTTCATTATATTTATCTCCCTCTCCCACTGCACATTTTAAGACCTCAAGCTGATAGAAAAAACTGGAATCAAAATTCATTTTAAAGAATCACAAATCATTGCCTGCCACACTACATCAATAATTTTTTTAGCGTCTTTTCAGATAATAAAACATCTCCGTGTGGCGGTTTCATTGACATTAATACGGACAAGGAAACAATAATTATAGCATAATCGTCTCCATAAGGAGGGGTGAGGGGGGGGTGGAAGGAAGACGAAGAATGATATGTACTATTTTTGAATTCCGACCCCAACAGTCAGTGGATGAAACGAAAAGTCGAAAAGTCAGAAAGGTAAGAATGCGTTTTACGTGAAATTTGAGAAACTATCGTTCGTTTGGATAGAACCCTAAAATAGAATGAAACATAGAGAATACTTCTTTTTCGAAGCGCATTCACAAACATAGGTTTGGGGTCGAAACATCAACTAAACTGCGCAAACAATTTTTTCCAATGTGGTAAATACTGACATGCATAAAAATAAGGAGATTCCCCTTCAGCAGCAACTGAGCGAAAACCCTTCAAAGAAGAGTTTTTCCGCGAACTTAACCACCAATCCATCATATCAGACACCAGACTCAAGGTTGCCGCAAACTGGTCACGTGTAGGTAACGTTTCGCTCATTCATTT